GTTATCTATGTGATCAAATGGCAAGTATGTTTCTTCATATTGTTTTATTGTGCCACGTGCCCTACTTAGTATGAATCAAGTAAATTATTATTGTTATTTTGAGTTCAAAAATGATACTGGTGTTGTTGTTTTTCATATCTGATTTCTTTTAAAATGAGGTCTTGATTGGTGTATGGTCTGTTATTGTATTGATATGTAGGGCTGAAGATCCCACCATGAATTAAATTTTCTATGTTGTACCTGAAACCCAACTAAAAGCAGGGACCTATTTTTCTTATGAACTAGTCTCTAGTAAGCCGTATGAAATTGCTTGCATTAATATTTGGCGAGTCTTTGTACGTATACTGGTAACAAAAGATTCATTGAATGGTAAGACATTCCAAATCTCTACTGTTACACTGGAAACTGGTTGAGTGCTAGTCCATTATAGCTGATGGAAAAGGAGAAGATTACCTGCGCAAGTTTAGAAAAACTTTGATTTATTTCCAACTTTTACTTTTAACCCATTTAAAGATTGTGCCATGAAGTTCACACGTACTCAATTTCCTGTTTAGTTTCTTTTCAAGCAACTACACCATTAGTCCATTACTGTTGATAAACTTTGGTCCATTAAGCGTGTAAGAGGTGCATTCTCGCCGGTACATTAGGAGGTTAGCAACTCTTAATTGTCTTTTTCAATCCTACGCTTCTGTGTGACACCATGTAAGATGGTTGTCCTTATGTTGTATTTTAAGATGCTCTTTTAGCCTTCAATTATTTCATTGGAATTCATTTATTCTTCTCTCACTCCTTGTGAAGCTGGACATCACTTTGAAACTGAAGTTGGGGCCCTGCCTGTTTTAGTTAAGGAAGGCTTTCTTTGAAATGAAATTTGATTTTCAATCCAATCTCCTTTCTGTGTCAAAATGCACAAGATTGAAGTATTATTTGCTATTATAAGTTATTGTAGTTTCAGATAGGTGACTAAGGGAATGGAGAACCACCTGTATTGTTCCGCTTTTGGATCAAATCCTCCTCCGTCCCAATAAATTTTTGATTGATCAGCATTGTCTTGATCTACTGTATCATAACCATTTGCTCTGCCCTTCGACGTCTGAAATCCTATCATGTTACTTCTGAATGCCCTTTCTAAAGGTTGTAATTGAGAAAGACTTCCAAAGAACGCAATCTCGTTCCAAAATTGGCGGGATGACCATACTTTAATGCAGCCTTCCCATAGCCTTATGTTGTAATTCAAACTTGAAAAAAAAATAATGGCATTGCTTCTCTCTCTCTCTCTCTCTATCTCTCTCTCTCTGTGTGTTTTAAAAAAAGAAAAAGAAAGTGAAAATAAAGAAGGGCCTTGGTCTTTTTATGCAATGAGTCCTCAGTAATTTGTGAAGTTTGCTTGTTTGCTTATTTGACCCATTAGAAGAAAGTGTGTGCTGTTGCTCCAATCAGATGTCAGATTATTATATAAAATTTATGGCTCTGTTGTTGTCTCAGTTGTACATTCAAAGAGATCTTTACCACATTTTCGGCTATATTTTACGTAGGCTCCAGATTTTGTTTCAATGTGCTCCTAGGAAAGATCTTTACCACGTTTTCTGCTATAATTTTAAATCTTCAAGAAAAGAAAAAAGTCTGCTGTATTATATGTATATTCTAGAAGTTCATTAGTCTGATATCATCTTAATAGTGCAAGTTTGGAAAATCTTGATAGATAACTTTGTTGCTGAGGGTAAAAAGTTGACTGTGATTATGTAGGCTCCATAATTTCTTTCATTGTCTTCCCCAAGGAGATCTTTACCATGATTTCTATTGTATTTTGACATCGTATTTTATATATATACTAGAGGTCTTATGAGTGCCATGTGTTTGTGATAATTTTTCAAAGAAAAACTGGAAATTGAATTTATTGGAAGAAGCTTATGGTAATTTGTGTGATATCAAGATCAACGTTTTAGGGTTTTTACTCATGGTGTAACTTGTTTCTCTCCAGAACACCAGGGAAACCGCATTGTCTATCAGGAAGCTCCCATTGGTCAAGGCTAAGAGGTAACTGGAGGACGTTCTTGCCCACAAGCAGGCCATCCCTTTCCAGCGCTTTTGTGGAGGTGTTAGGCTCACTGCTCAAGCAAGAACCGCCATCCAAATGGACAAGGGCAGTGGCCTGTCATGTCTGCCAAGTTCATCTTGAACTTGCTCTAGAGTGCTGAGAGTAATGCTGATGTATGTAATCCTCTCTCTCTCTCTCTCTCTCTCTCTCTCTCTCTCTCTCTCTCTACTACTCTACCTACTACCTACCTACCTACCTAACCTACCTAACCTAACCTAACCAACCTAACCTAA